ACGTGTTTTTTCTAGATTTCTTCTAGAATATCCGCGAGGAAACGATCTAAGAATTGTGCAGTGTTATCAAAAGGAATCGAATGATGTATCGATTACCTCCGTACCTGCCGCAAGTTACTCAAAACGCGTTTTAGTCGCTTAAAAAAATCAAAACAACGCGGACTTTTGAAAAATATCTTATAATCTCTTAAATGTCTCAGTTCCCCATTACCGACATGCGACAATTGACGTGTCATTTGTTACCTTTCGTGGAATGGAAGGGATCTAATCGTCAGTGACGGACGGATGGAAGATCGGATGCCGGATAATCGATTGCAATACAACGATTATATCGATGAATATACGAGTAGGATGTTAACTACAATAGAAGAAACAACCTCTTAGGTAAACCCTTTAAACGTTTAGTATAATTATGATTATTAAGTGATCAGTTGCAATAATATTATATTTTTTAAATTTTAAATGATATATTATTTTTACATTTTGCATGTACATTTCTAAAAAAACTAAAGCAAATTAAATTCTTGATATTTTCTTGAGAGTTTACATTTTATAAAATCGAATAGTTAAAACTCCATAATTTGAAAAGAACCGTGAGTATGGTGGATACAATATCACATGGGTCAAGCTATTTTTTGTAATACTAATAATTGTGAATTTATACTTCAAAAACTGTACATCGGAGGAATACTGATTTGAACTTGACCGATCTGTACGTTGGTATACTGCGGACTGAGTCTTCAATACATATATATTTAGAATTAGTTTTCTTGTAAAACGTGGTGTATCTATTCTGGGTCTCGCCTTCAGGGGCTCCTCCATGGTTGTGCTCCCGAGGCGTTGCTGTGGGGTTACGATCCGGCCCGCGGCCACGCAACGCATCGCCGCCTGGCTGCTTCCGCCTCGATCAAGACGCATCCACGCTCCTCTGAGAGGATCCCTCGCCTGGGCCAAGGCCTCACCCTCCGCTGCCCATCCTCCCCTGATCCGTCTACGTTCACTCAAATTCCGCCTCCCCTCCGCGAGCACCCTGCTTCCACCTCAGGCACTGGCGGGCATCGCTCCCGTGTCTCGGCACATTCCTGTCATCATTGACCTGGCGTCACCTCTTTTCCTTTCACCATCGTTACTTCTACCTTCTCTTCGAACTATTCTCTCCTCTTCCACCCTACTCCCACCCATCTCACGCCATCTCCATTGCAGTCTATGGACTCAGTCCCACCTCGTTCACCACCCTCGCTTCCACATTCCGTTCCACTCCACCAATTCGACTCCCGCCTCTAACCCTCTCCACATCTGCGCAACCTACACACCCTCCCCTCCCCACTCCACATTACACCTCCTTCTCCGCCGAGCCAATCTCCTTCATTGCCATCACTTCCACGTTTCGTTTCACCCTACCATCGACTTCGACTTCTCTCTCCACCCTCACACCATCTTTCTGGTGCACCCTACGCATTGGCCCTTTCTCCCTCCTCCCCTCACCCCACGTCTCCTTCCCCGCCCCGCCGCGCCGTTGGCAGCGCTCCGCTCAATTTCCTGCGGTTGCGCCCGCCTGCGCCCCCGGCGACATGGCTTCCGAAGCCCTGGGCCTCGAATCAGGCGCCACAAGGCGGTTTCCTCCACCCCCACCTCCACCCTCTCCCTTTTTTCGCCTCGTCACGCGGGCGCTCCCGCGGTGGCGACGCCATTCTGGAAATTAGTAAACGGCGCGCAGAAATTGAGCGGATGAATGGGGCTCCCAACGACTCGCACCCGCCTTTCGGGGCGACGCGTCGCGTCGCTAGTGCCTTCCAATGTCGGGCCCCGGCGTCGCTTATTGATGAGACTGCTTTTGTTTTAACACTAGTTAAGGAGTTGTACTGCGGACATAGGTCACATCACATGAATTGTTACATGTCGCAAAAGCTTATATTGGATCATCACATTGTGTGTAATAAATTTGTCGTTCTTACACCTCGGTTGTCGAAGGAAATACTGTCCACCTTGTAAAACATAAATAATAACATTTGGACACAAAGTAATGACCCCAAAGTCTGGAAAGAAGCGATAATATATCCACTTAAAAGGCTGGAAAGAGTCCATTGAATCCTGAAAATTATCGCCCGATACCGTTGACGCGTTGTCTAGGAAAAATCTTGGAGAAAATGATCAACACTCGGCTAACGTAATGTCTCGAAAGAAACAACCTCTTGAACAAACATTAGTGTGGATACAGACAACATCACTTTAAAATCGACCAGTTAATATATCTAAAAAAAAAAACGCAATTCAGAAAACCTTCATCAAAAGAAAAATTATGGTTACCGTATTCTTTGACCTGGAAAAAACTTTGATAAGACCTGGCGATATAATATTCTGAGAAAGCTATATAACTGGCAAATAAGAGGAAACCTACCAACATTCGTATCCAGCTTCCTTGGTACCAGATCTTTCCAAGTTCGCGTTAGGCAATCCATCTCAGAATGCTACGTACTAGAGAATGATGTACCGCAAGACTCTCCAACAACCAATCAGAAATTTATATCCAAGTACGACATCAAGATGCAAGAAATGCTGCTTCGAAGTGCATTCTCACAGCTTGGCAGACCACGTGAAACAGCCCTCACCCGTCACTAAACGCAATTAAACAGAACATCAGTAAATGGTCACCAAATGTCAGCTACCCTCGATGAGAACAAGTGTGCATAACCAACCAGACTAAGAAGAGGAATGTAATAACTTGTTTATACATGCTAAGAAATGAAGAAAACCCATTTACAGCTGCGGAAGACGTCTTACAGTGAAACATTCAGACAGATTGTGTAGATCTCTCAAGACTTAGGGACAGATGCGGCATGAGAGGCAACATGAAGGTAGTCCTCGAAACCGACAAGATGGCAACTGGCAAAACAATAAAGTTCCTGAAAGAAGCCAATCTTTTCTACAATATTTAAACAGCACATAATTAATTGTAACATCAATTAGTAAAAAGGCTAAAGACCTCAGTTACCAAGCCTTTAAACTATTAAAAAAATTGTTGTTCTTTTTGTTATGATCTACGTACAATTAATGAAGTTAGAGCCCCAATATCACTTTTTTATCCACATGAGATGGACAATAGTGTCTTCTTCGAATCTCCAATTTCCGTATGTATTTTAAATTAAAATAATACCAATTCCAATTATCTTCCAATTAATTATTAACATCTGTATTTTGTATTTAGCTGATATATGCTTCATTAAATTATATGGCTTTGGTTAATATTGTGCTTATTAAAATAATAATTTAGATCAATCATTATTTCGTGAAACTTATGCTATTTAATGGCTTCACGGAATGAAAAGTATTTCACATGCAGCATTTGAATGCATCGAAATATTACATTTACAGACAGAATTTCTTTTTTCTGGACTTTTTTCTAAGTAAGTTCTTAGTAAAATATCCGTGAACCTAAATATTGCTATTATAAATATTTAAAGGTTACTTCTACACCTAGCGAGAAATTCTACCTGGTTTTGATTTATTAATTTTAAGTTTTTAGGTGTTGTTTATAAAATAATTTTAAAAGAAATGTTTTCTTATTAATGAGGTCACGTTAGAGAAAATGTAATTTCTGAATGCAATATGCATATGCAGAGTTTTCTTTCATTTTTGTTCTAGTCCAGAATGCATGCCAATACTGTTCCTTTGCATAACAAATAAATAGCAGAATGCACTTCAGTAAAGTGCTGAGTCTGGAATACCGGATACTAGTACATGCATCATTCTGGAACAGTAATTCCAACCTTTTGAAAGATGGTATGGAAGCGCCCTACGCCGCATATTTGTCTGGCTTCAGCGGTTACTGGAAATATACTGAAATTTTTTTCTCAAAGTAAAATAGTTTACAAAGTGCACACACTTACTTTGAATATGATGTACTTTGATACAATTATTTATGTATTTCGGTAATATTGGGAATTATTCGACTTCTGACATTGGTATTTGAACGGTTTTGTCAAAATAAACTCAAATAATTTTGTTCGTATTTCATGAGATGTGTCCAATCATGTTAATGAGTTCTATTGGCTTCTCTACTATCTGTAATTCATCAGAAGCTTTTTCTATATTATGTAATTCTCCTATTCAAATACATTCATCTAAATACTCCTGAACTATGAGGATATTTACTAAAAATACTTAAAAATACAATTGTGTTCTTGGTTGAGGTTATTGAACTGTACAATTAAAAGCTAGAAATAATTACGAATTAATTCCAGACGATATATTTTTCTAGCTTTAATTTCTTGTTTAAATGAGGACTTCAATCTGATTTCAGCCTTTTTGTGTAACTTTGTTCTTAAATTATTTTATAACAGTTGATCATTGGTAAATTAATTTTCGCTACCGAACAATAGACACATCTGATCGTATATTTATGCGCATGGTTACTAAAATATTTGATATACATTGTAACATAAAATGGCATTTTACGGATAGTGTCTCGTCCAAAAAATAGAATTTATTTGACCTGGATAAGTAAAATGACCAACTAAAACAGAATAAACGTCTCAAGGAGAAAAAATGAGTCGCAAATTCAAACAAAATGAGTTGCAATTTACTTTAATTTAAAATACTGAAATGTGTAAGTATCATTATGTTTAGTGTAATATACTCATCACAGCACTAACGTTTGACGGGTAACATAACGGCGACATAATTAAAAAAACTCATTTCTTTTATCTTCAAAAATAAATTTGTTAATAAATTTATAATGCAATTGGTGCTATAATTATTCTATTAGAGCGCTAGTTTTATATTGAAACTTCATATAAAATTATGGGATTGACATTATATATAAACGTATGTGAGAGTGCTTATCGAACATTCCCGCATTGTCGTAGTTAAAATAATATAAGAAATGTGTCCTAGCAAAAGAGTGAATGAATCATTGAATATGAGTTACTAAGAAAGAGAGTGCGAGAAAATGAGTTCTAAGGTGAGGAAAGCGTGGTGAACGAGTGGCGGCGGCGTTCCAGGTGCGGACAGCAAGGTGTCGGACGTGGACGGCCTGCCCTACTCTCTGCTGCTGTACGGCAACGGGCCAGGCCACGCGGCACCGCGCCCGGTGCCCGCCAACGACTCCTGGGACCCCAACACCATCCACGGCGCCGCCGCGCCGCGCGTCTGGGCCACGCACGGCGGGGAGGTAGGGCAGCCACTCTTCCCCAAACATTGCCCCCTTTTTAGATCCAATAACGTATTTTATACATATACAGTGTGAGGATCACAAAAATTGTTTCCATTTGTTCGTATCATATTTTTTAGCAAATATACATTTAAAAATTTTTATAATAGCTTTAACTTTAAAATTGTGAAACATTGTTTGATCAACACAAAATTAAGAATTGAAACATAGTTTACTTTATATTATTTCTTTATATTAGAGTTAAGAATATGAATATTAAACACACTAACTTAAGGCCATTACTTTACTGTTACTATTACGCTTTACTGTTTGTTTTCATGTGTATGAGCAGTCAATTGAACTGTTGTTGTTTACACATTGCCGGCCAAATTACTTCAAATTTGGCGCCTTGTCTTCTTTAACAGGGCGTTTGATGTTCTGTGTGAAGGGACTTTTTCTCTATAAGACCATTTATTATTACATTTTGAACTTGGCGCCTCCGAGATTTCCGAGTCTTAATTTTTCTCCAAAAGCCACTGCGAATTTCTTTCTCGCCGACCAAACATTCATTGTCTTCATGCAAGTCCTGAAGTCGATTATCAACTTCTTTCTTATTAGTTCGGAGGTCACCGAAAGATCGCACAAGCTCCTGGATAGCTAAAAATTCCCGCTAAAAATTGGCATTGCCGAAATGAGTTTTCTATCGCAGACGCCGGCTCGTCTTGTTACGACAAGCTAATGTGGAAAGCTGAGTAAAAGCGTTTTGAACGTCTTCAAGGTTCGACTCTGAGTGTGCCAGGAACTGGATGTAGTAGAAACACGTAGCTAAAGGCCAAGGAATTCGTAAGGAAAGGGTCAGTTTTCGTTTGGACAGAGGTAACTGTGACAACTTCTTCAATACTCGTTAATTCTTTCTCCAAGTAACAATTCTTGTCAATTGTGTGTCATCTCTTTTCCAGAACACTCTTGTCTGACAAAAACTACTGTGATAGAAGAGGCGATGTTCCATTGCCATTTCCATCAAAAATGCTCTCCCAACTTTTCTTCGACTATTTCGCCGCCTGAACAGTTGTCGCTTAGGTAAAAATCTTCTTATTCCACGTGTTCTCTAATAAGATCATCTCGCTGAAGTAACCAACAGCAGTGAGCCATGATATATGTTTTCCATCGCGTTTGGTAGCGCCTTTGAATGATTTTAATATCTTGGAATATCTTGGAATATCTTGGTTAAATATCTGACCAAATTTTTCAGTTCTATTTGTGTTTGTGTTTGTGTTTGGGTTTGTATTCGGTGCTTGTCCAATCAGATTCCTCTGCTGACTCGCCTAGCGCTGAACTTGAATCAGAATGCAATATTTCCGATGGAGTTCGATGGAGGTTCTAGTACAGGAACGACAGTGCCTCGGGGTACAGGCCTTTTAGCAGACTTCAAATCAAGATAAATCATTCCCTGACTGTTCTTTGTATTGAAACCTTTCACTTAACAAATACAAATATAACAATCGTTGAGATGGTTCTTTGGCTCGTACTACACCATAGGAACTCCAGGATTCAGTGTCTTCCTCTTCCTCTTTGACAAGGGATTTTTTTTGTTTGTTTTTTCTGCAACACAAATATTGAACGCTTTATGAGGGGTCTACGGTTTATCCTGATTCTCCAGTTTCATTCCAAAATAAGCGTTATAAACACTTCTAACAAATGTGGTTATACTCTGTCTCTGTTTTGCAATAATAAAACGTCCAAAAATATAACAAAATGTATTTGGGTCAATCACACACTTTGTTGCGTGATTATAGTACAATAAATATTTAAACAAACAAACTAGTTCTTCGAAACAGTCTGCTTGATATACATTCGAATATCTTTGTCAACACTGGTTGATTCAACTTTGGCACACTGTCGGTATGCAGCTATGTATACATGTATTTGTAGGTTTATGGATATCATTCTGTAACGTTGCCATATGAGTGTTCTGTAACAAAATAAACCAAAATGAACTGACATAATAAACTGACTATCACGAATAATATATATTTGCGTTTCTAACTCATTGAAGATAATGTGTATATTTTTAATATATTGTTGATCAAAATTACTGAAATTATTAACAATTGTGATGTGATAAAAGAAAAGTAGGGGCATTATTGGATTCAGATGACCAACTTACGTGCAAATGTCACTGTCACGTGTCAACAAGTGTCAAAGTCAAAAAAATAAAATCCATGTTAACCTGTGTAATCTGATAAGTGCAGTAATTAAATGGTGAGTCATTTGATAAAAACTGGAAACTGGCTATACCGTCGGTATACGTCTATAACATTTCATTTTGTGACTCCGAGGTGAACGGACGTGTTTCTGTTTCCATCCCGCGAGTGCCGAAACGTAAACAGTGTTTTATAGCTTAGTTAATCGAAAAATAAAATATTTACGTATTGAAAAATTGGAAGTAATTTTCAATCAAATGTGGTGTTACTAAGAAAAATAAGTGATACGAAATTATTAAGTGAATGGCCTCGGCCCAAAAAGTGGGGCCCATTTTTTTGGGCCGAAAAGCCCCCATAGTTGGGGGGGGGGGGGGGGGGGGGGGGGGGGGGGAAAAAAAAAAACCCGTTCCCCCCCCCCCCCCCCCCACCCCCCGCCAAAACAAAAAATGGGGATCCCAAATTTTAATATTTAAAAAGCTTTTTTCCCCCCCGCCAAAAAAATTTCCCAAAACCCAAAATAAAAAATTCGGGTTTTTTTTTTGCCAGCAACAGTTAATCGAAAGTAAAACATAATACAACGTCGATCGTGCGAGTAAATACAAAGACAAAGAGGCAAAAACCAGATTTTAAATCGATGCCATATGTGTGGAGCAATTAACACCTGTAAGTCAAATCTTTTATTAAATACAAGTGAATTCTCAATATAAATACTGCAAAGTGGTGTGCACTAATTCTAAAGATAAGACAACTCTTGGCAAAAAGTTACGTATAGAGAATACCAACACGTAAAAATTATTGATGATTACAGGACACGACGAGTCCGCGCGAGGGGAGATAATTCTTCTGCTCAATGTCGTGACTATGCAAATATTTGAACTGTTAAGTAGCAAGAAAATGTTGAAGTAACATCACAACCAACAGATCTAATAACGCAACATTAAACCTCCGCATTTATTTCATTCCATGAGTAGGAGATTATATACTGGATATGAACGAACATAATTCAAGAAGTTTCTTAAACAGAAGACTTACACCGTCTACAAATGCTTAAAAATCAGCAATGTAAAATAATGCCGCAACATCCGATGCATTTCGCACCGTCGTCAAGCACTGAAAAACAAGAATGATTATGTCTTCATACATACAGATTGAAAGAAGATCGAGCATCAGAGTAGTCATTGAAATATATTTCATTCCGTCAACAGATGTGCACATGGCTACAAGAAGAATAGAAAATCTTGGTACAAAGTTCGTCAAATTTATAATGCTAAACATCGACGTTACTAAGAGAAGCCATTATCCATATTCTTTTTGTTGCACCTAGAACAGAGCCAACAACAATAAAAGTATTTATGAAATGAAATGCGTCTTAACAACTGTATATTATTCGTGTCGAACCTGTTCGCAGAAGAAGGAAATAGTAGCAATGTAAAGACTGCTTGACCCCCCTATGGTCACATAAAAGTTATTGCACGATACAAAAGCGCTGCATGCGTGTGCGAGAAGGACAGGGGGGAGGGGGGGGCGGCATTGAAGATTGTGATAAAGTCAAAAGATAGCATGCCAATGTGCGACGATTGCGGAGAGAAGACACCGTCGAACATATAAAGGGATGTATCATAATATCAAACTCTTAAAAAGAAAGAGATTCCCTGAAACACAAAAAATATTTAGGGCAATCAAAAATCCAAATGTCGTTCATCAGAAAGACTTCTTCCCGCAACATTTCCTTCAAGAAAACACCAGTGCAAACTTCTACCAGTAATACACAATCTTACGCGCGAACTCTTTCTAACAACAGCCGCCTGCGGAAAGTGAACTTGAAAAAATTGTACAAGAATCGTTCGCAAATTTGGAAAATCTCCCTTAGTAAAGCAACGCGGAGCTAAGTAAACTCTCATGTCGAAACATTGCTATCAAAATGACGAAGCAGTTAATCTCACAGCCTGGAACTGCAAACGGTTCCTCGAATCGAGAAGACGAGAAGTCGAACTTCTTTCTAAATTAATATGAAATAATATATTATTAGTGTCGCAAACGCACCTTGAGATAAGAGCCATATTAAAATTCCGAACTTTACTAACGTTTCAACAATCATCCGATGTGGAATGCCCATGGCGCACGCCATCATACAATAAGGAAATTCCTCATTAGCAACCCTGAAGTGAGAAATATTGTGAACGAAATTTACAAGCAAACGACAATCCAGATCAATGACTTGCATGGACCTTAGCATTTCAGCCGTCTATTGTCCACCTAACATAAATAAAAGTGAACCCGAGTTTCAACGAACTTTTTATGAAACTGCTTGAAACGCAAGATTCATCGTCGGTGGGAGACTATAATGCGAAAAATCGAACTTGGGGTTCCAGGTTAAAACAACTAGAGGTGAGGAGTTAAACAAAGCTATATCTCCACGAACTTTTCGTACCACTCAACAGGGCAACC